TCTTTATTCTGTTTCTTCTTATGATATAGGAAAAAATATGTTCTTGTTGCGTGAGGATTGTGGATGTACTATTTACATACATGCAAATATATACACATCTATATGATAAGAAAGACACACACACAATGCGCACNCCAGAGGTACAACAATGTTCAAGACAATCGTCTTTATTCTGTTTCTTCTTATGATATAGGAAAAAATATGTTCTTGTTGCGTGAGGATTATGGATGTACTATTTACATACATGCAAATATATACACATCTATATGATAAGAAAGACACACACACAATGCGCATGAATCTCTACAGTAATGGGGAAACTTGAAGAGTTTTAGAGGTTTAGTGCTGCTAGGATAAGGTGCTTTAGCAAATTTTCACCTTCAGTGATACGTAAGGCTTCATTGGGTGTTTTGGTTTGTAAACCATCAGATAACCTATCNAGGATAAGGTGCTTTAGCAAATTTTCACCTTCAGTGATACGTAAGGCTTCATTGGGTATTTTGTTTTGTAAACCATCAGATAACCTATTTGCCTAACTTAAAATAAGTAACACAAATCGTGCAACATTAGATTATGCCCTTTTGTTTGATCAGTCAGTTCTTCGATTATTCTTATTCAACATTATTGTAGTGAAAACTTGTATGTATAATGCCACTGGGAAAAATACCAGACATTTTAAGTTTCATATCTGAATTTTTTGAAATTAATAGAAGACACTACACTTGTCAAGGACACTATTTGAATAAGTAACACAATAGACTTTGTTTCCTTTTCAATGTTAAACGCATGCCTGTAAGAGAATTTGAAGAAACTGAATGTATCTAAGAACAATACAATACACTACACTTATATCAAGCTTCGCAACATATAATCCCCACACAAATTGTGCTTTTGGTCTACATAACTGCTAAATTCAAGCACAACAACTATGTAACCAGCTGGTACAGAGAATTTAAATTAAATTAATAGTTAATTACAAACTAATAACACAATTAAAATTAATTTAATTGAAACACATCAACAAAATAATTGTACAGTAATATACTCAGAGACTGAGACACATACTGGAGGAGAGGAGAAGGGTGGTGGAGGTGGTGTTCGTACATGGTGGTGTTTGTTGTGCTGGTGGAGATGTCGTTAGAAGGAGGTGGTGCTGGTGATTTGTCGCCTGAAGAAGATGATGCTAGTGATGGCAAGTGAATGGTTACTATATGGAGATNGTGGAGATGTCGTTAGAAGGAGGTGGTGCTGGTGATTTGTCGCCTGAAGAAGATGATGCTAGTGATGGCAGGTGAATGGTTACTATATGGAGATTTCGCCTGAATGAGGTGGTATTGGCAGGGGTGGAGCCACCCTTGGGTCAGGGTGGAGCCACCCTTGGGTCAGGGTGGGCATGTGCCCCCCTCAAATTTTTTTTGCTTCATATTAAGTATGTATTTTTTAAAATAAAATTTAGACATATTTAATTATGTTCACCCTAATATTGTATTTTGGTGATATTGATTTAAATAGACTCTTAAATGATTGTTAACTTTTTGAATAATGTTATTAAAACCTAATTTTAGGACTTAATACATTGTGATATTAAATATAGTAGTGAGTCTTAATATTTAATAAACTCTACTGTCTATCCAATGGTCAAAAAACATTGGATTTCAATCACTTAAATCTCAAATTAGGTACAACTAATATAATTGTTAACTTTTAGACATGTCTGAATATGTTTTGAACATATTGATGTTATTTTATAATTTTTTTAAATTGTAAGATTATTTCGTTACTATATAAAAATGTGTGTTGTTATGTAGTAAACTATAGTATCATAAATGAAATATTGTTACTTTGATTTTATATATAAAAGCAATATTATTGATAAAACTAATTTGTAACACTTTCAAATAATAAAAATATACCAGAGTTAATTGTAAGTAATAATAATTAGTCGCATTCTCGATAAGAAGTTTCAATTATTATTTTTTTGTTTGAGTATATCGATTTTTAATCTTCTACATTTAAAAAGTATTAAATATAGTTTTAATAAATATAAATTTATGAACTTTTACATTCTATTAAAAAAAAATTGAAACATACTAATGTTTCTACCCTAAAAAAAATTTATGGCTCCGTCTCTGGGTACTGGTGATTGTCGCCTAAAGGAGGTGGTGTTGGTAATTTGTCGCCTGAAGGAGGAGGCTTGGAATTCGAATTAGGGCTCGAATAGAAGAATTGGGGGGAAGAAAGAAAATAATCGATTTTCAGATGCAAGCTAAAACGTTAGTACAAATAACGTCGTTATTGAAAATGTCAGTTGGACTAACGTTTTTAACTCTTTTTCATAGTCACTATTCCAGAAGAAAAAAAAGTCACTTGGTCTGACTTTTTACGTTAAAAACGTTACTCTAATTGACGTTTTAATTCTAAACACGTCATTCCAACTGACGATTTTAAAAGAGTATGGATTTGGGAAATAATTTGAAAACTACCTTATTTTGGATATAAGTTTTTAAAAACCCGTGGGTTAGGGTAAAAGCTCCTATTTTATCACTAGACAAAAACATAAGTATATACATATAACAATGAAAGCAATACCTTTAATTGAGGTCATTCATGAAACTTGATGTGCTTTTGTGCAAGAATATACTCATCACTGATAGAGCCTGTTTGTTTGAGGTATAAAATTTTATATTCATTCCACTCCGATCCAATGGTATATTATACCCGATCTTAAACTATAATCTCATCATTCCCCTTATTTGTTTTTCACAAACATTATCTGTGTAATACCTACTTAAAAGAGTCAAAAATTGCAACTACTCAATATAAAAAGACAATTGTAACCTTCTAAAAAGTCAAAAATTACAACTGGCTTTTATATGGAATATTGTACATGAGGGCATTTGGGTCTTTTTACTCTATTATACCTCCATAAAATTTATACCGAGAATATTATACCACTGGATAGGTAGTATTGCTTAGCACCATATACAAGGCATAAGAGTTATTGTTCACACTGAGTCAGTACTATGACCCANTTACTCTATTATACCTCCATAAAATTTATACCGAGAATATTATACCACTGGATAGGTGGTATTGCTTAGCACCATATACAAGGCATAAGAGTTATTGTTCACACTGAGTCAGCACTATGACCCGNCCATAAAATTTATACCGAGAATATTATACCACTGGATAGGTAGTATTGCTTAGCACCATATACAAGGCATAAGAGTTATTGTTCACACTGAGTCAGTACTATGACCCAAAAATTAATACCGAGTAAAAAATATCAAACAAACAAGGTATAAGGTAGGTCACACGTACTATTTTCCTTATACCAACCCCTTATACCTCAAACAAACAGCCCCATAGTGCTGTAGTGGCTTTAGAACTTAATCATTTCCTCAAAAGATTAATATGTTTACCTAATAAATTATATTAATCCTTTTATCATTTGCACAAAAAGGTTTGTACAAACTCTCAATCTCCCAACTGTTAAGACTTTTTCACCACAATTATGGACAATACTAAAATTATTTGTTTTGGTTTATTTTATTCCTAATTTTTTTTTTTAGTTGAGCATTATGTTCTATCAGTTTGAAAAGAAGATCATTGCTACCTCAATCAAAATTGGGGACTTAATTCAGTTAACTTGTAGATTAGCAATGGATCTCCTATAAGTAGGGTCTACGTTCAATCTAACAATTATAATAGATTAGGTCTCAATCAATTGAGTCTACCGCATTTATTATCCATGATTCTATCACGATTCTTTAAATTAAGAGGTTAATTGATCAATTTTCCTTTAGCAAAAATCGATTTCTCGTGTCTCCTCTTTGAAAGTTGTGTTGGGCCCTTCTTTCGGACTTCTCTTAATCTCTCCGGAGTGTTTTCTCCTATTTAAACATTGAAGGGCTCTTTCCTTAATGGCATAAGGACTTCGATTCTTGAGAGGGTGTCTAATTTTCCATGAGCACTCCACTTTGTGTTGTTACGATTCAATGATATTGTTACAACTCAATAAAATATCGCTCCTAATAAATTGGAACCATTCTTTTAAGTTTTGTGGGTCGATCCTAATTCAACCCCATTACACTATAATTTAGCCCATAAACACAAGGGTCAATTGGGTGATAGCCCAACGCTATCATTTAACGCTTAATCTTTAGTGAGAGCATCATTCCTTAACACATGGGGACACTTTCTGGTGGGATAACGACTAACACGATGGTCTCGTCGTCCACATGAACCAATGAGAGGGTTCCTCTTCAAAAGAGTTGTCAACTTGGCAGAACGTCATCATGGCTGACACACATTTGAGCCCCCTTAAGGTAAAAATAGTCCAAAAGTTTGGGCCTCAGTTTCCCAAATATAAATAGACACAATACCATTGTGACACTCATATCTTCTCTCTCACGTCCATCAACTTTAACATCAAAGGAGATATGCCGAAGGATTCTCTGACCCCTGTTCCTAACCTTCCATAGGTGTCACGATCTCACTAGTTGCTGAAAATTATCCCATGCAATTCTGAATATTAAAAATCTGAAAAAAAAAAATTGCAAATATGATACATTGTTTATTACGAGATTCAATAAATCCTATGGTGGATTGAAGATTCGTTTGTATGGTCTAATATCTGTATGAATCTAATAATTTCTTTTAAGACGTCAGAGCGAGATATTTGCCAGTCCATCTGGTATTGTCATGGATGCTGCGTCTCCCTATTTGCCAGTCTTGGCTGAACTAATTTAGGGTATTGGTTGATTTCCCAGGCCCAATCAACTTTGACCTTAAACCTGGATTTTCTATGCTTTCCAGAACCACAGGATATGAAATGTATTTTCCACTTAAAAAATTAAAAAAAAATCCACAAGGGATTACTCAATAAAATATTTTACCAACCAATAATTTTGGAGGGAGAATAAAAAATCAATTGCTATTCACTGGACGAACAATGACCACCAAATATATTCTTTATTAAAAGCTTCTTGTTACAGCTGAAATATCCAGTTCATCTTTACAGGTGTCATCAACGTCATTCATTCAAGCTTCTACAGAAATACCAACTTAAATCAAACCAGTCTACCAACACTAGGTCAACAGTTAAAGGCATACTGTACAAGTTCTGCCCAATTTATGAGCACTGAAGCACATTCCAAGAGGTACAACCAAGTTTGGACCTAGCTACTGAGTTATACAAGTTTCTGATAACAGAAACACAAATTTAGAGCATACGACAAACTGAAATCTCAACTACCCCAATTTCCCCAGCATACAAATAGCATCCAATTTGAGGAGCATTTCTTCCAATATCCATGCGAATCAGAAGTACTTGGAAATGTAAAATCTGTAGCAACAAACTAGCAAGCATGTACAGTACAAATCATGCATTCCAACAGCTAAGATGGGAAAATAAAAGTCAATTTGAGAGCAAGACTGTAAATCTTAGCACATCTACAGTACTCTCATAACAGAAGCTAACTTCGGAGTGTGTTCCAACTCCAGCCTTAAAAAATAAGTAAAACAACGCAAATTCCACCTACGAAATCAAGAAAACATGGAGACTAGCTTACACCTACCACTAGTATTAATCTACACCAACTAACATAGAAATGCTACCCATGATTCTGATATTAGGTCAAATATGAAGGAAAAGACACATACATGGCTTCACTACAGCCTGCAGCGCGAGGTAACAACAAAATGTTCCCAGGGACTAGGCAGCAGATAATACAAAATATTACCCAACATTGCAAAAAGGAAGAACCAAAATTCAGCTTTTAATTCCTCTTCGCCGCTTCTTTCCACTCTTTGCCCCACTTTCTAGAGATTTCGCCTTCACACTTTCTGAGGTTTTCATTGAATCGGATGATTTTCCCTTCCCACCATCAGTTTCTTTCCCCTTTGATGAACTAGATTTCACTTTGCCCATGCCATTAGCAGTAGATTTGTTCCCACTTTGGGGGGTTTTACCCTTAGATTTGGTGACATTCTTTGGCGTCTCTTGCTTGGACTTGGTGGCGGTCTTGGCCGTGTCACCATCAACATCCTTGGATTTGCCAGCAGCTCTAGGGGCCTCATCAATAGATTTGCCACTGCTTTTTTTACCACTAGACTTGGAGGTGCTGTCTTTCAATTTGCTATCAACTTTTCCATCCTCCCTTGATTTATGACCAGATTTTCCAGACGTGCCTTTGGATTTGCTAAAGGAAGCAGCTCCACCCCTTGTGACCATTTATCTCATAGTGTCAAAAAATGCTTTTATAATATTGCCAATAAAGAAAGCAACACCAGCAAGAAGTTATAAACCTTTTAGGAGAAAGCTCCATTGCCAACGGTTCAGATTGAGCTTTAGATTTCTTCCTCTTGTGCCTGATAGAAGGAAAGTAAATCATAAGCCAGGAGTCCAACATATAAAGCACCCAACATTATTCAATAACAACAAATGGTAATACACGCAAAAAAAAAAAAGGGAGGATGTAATATCTTTAGTACCAAGGAAGAAAAAATTCTCATGAAATTATAGAACTTCCTCAACTCGTATTGATCACAATTCGGACCAATAAGAGGTATAAACAAAAAAACGAAGTATACTAGGTCGCTGCATTTTTGGGAGGCTATCAAACTTTGTAACAAAAACACCCCCAAAAATAAAGCAACAAAACATTTGATTGGAAAATCCAAACTGAAAAATAGAAACAGAAAACCTTGTTTCTAATTTGTCCAACTCACATTCTAAGATATGCCTAAACAAATGAACCAAAGTATTTGATAAAATTGAATGTCCGGCTTTCTTCAACACTGACAAATTTGGAAAATCGCTGAAAATTAAAAAGAAGTGTCAGTACACTGTACAGACAATAGTCCAGTAACACACGTATTTCTCACAAAGTCCATACTGAAACCTAGGTGTAATTTTCAGGAAGTCAAAACGGCACAAACACAAAAGCATGTTCTCCATTGGTTACATCTCCTTGCCTTCTACTACCCCAAACCTTATTGATCTAGTAACAACTTCAGATGATAAAGCTTTCTCAACTGATTATGGTTTCTCTAGTTTCCTGAGAGGTGCACAGGAATCCAACAGCGTTGACTCACTATGGGACTCCCGCCAACACATCGATAACTATCTTAGAACCTAAATTTGAAAACCCATACTTCAAGGAGTTTCAAAGGAAAATGTGCAACTCATCTTTATAGTTCCATTTTAGATAAAATTACCCCAAAATCTAACTCAGCAACAACCTAAAATAGTTCACCAATATACACAATTCAACTAGGGAGCTCAGAAATCTGAACTGTATACATAGGAGGGTAACTCCCCCAAGATATTCAAACAATCACCCCCAACCCTCTGGGAAACAATCAACAAAAGGATCAAGTGAGGGACTTCCCTGGCAGCCAAACAAAATGTATCTCAAAAAATGAGGACTACAATTCTAACCCCAATAGTTCCAGTCCTTCAAGACTTGAAATAATTGAGGCCACCAACCCCCCCCCCCCCCCAAAAAAAAAAAAAAAAAGAAAACCGTATCTGTGGCAGAGTTTATGGCAGCCTTTTGTTTCCCAGAGAGGGGGTAGAATTCAAACTGAAAAACAAGCAGCAGAAGAAACATTCAAACATTAAAAGCTGCTATATAAACTTGCAAGGAATGAATGTTCAGTCTCGCCCCAAACAAGGATAACTTTTGGCATTTGAGGGTTGTTACTTTTCAGAAAATAGATATCACAAAAAAACGACTAAAGTTGGATCTTCATTGCATCCATTCAACAATAACTTTAAAAATCTGAATGAACACTATATCAAGGTTTTTTTTTTTTTTTTTGTGAAAAGTTACACTATCTCAAGTTCAAAGCAAATATGTGACATTCTCTGAAACAGAAAGTCTCCATCATAAAAAAGTAGGACGTACATTTCAGAAGAAGCATCATGACTTAGATCTTCAGTTGCTTGCTCCTGTGATAAAAATGTATAAGCAAAACATGGAAAATGAGACAAAGTAGAGACAGCGAAAAACATATAATTCAATAACTCACCTCGTCTGATGCAGAATCACCTTTCACAAACTCCCATCGTTCCTTACCAAGATTTAATGTTTCTTCATCACCATCAGTATACAAAACCTGTTCGAGGCTGATAACATGAGCTAATGTAGATCTATGTGAAAATACAAACAAATAAAGCAAATGAGGGCACTCAGCATAGAAAAGTATTATATTGACCTTATGCTTCTTCTTGACAGGATCAAAAGAATCAATAACACCTTCATAGAACCTGCAAGTAACAAAGTGGACATTAGTAATTATAAACAAACAATGTTCATATTGACTCCTTAAAAGTCCTTGGTCAAAGTACAAACTTAAACTAACACAAAAAAAGGAAAGCATTCTGACAATTTTAGTTAGTAGGTGATATGGAAGTTGAAAGCACAAAAATAACCCAGGAAAAAAAAAGGCCAACCAATTTTACACCAAATTTATGGTCTAGATTCTCATACCACTGACGTATCATTAAAGATTATTTCCTAATATAACAGAAGGGATTATTATGGCTAAACAAGGCGTTTTGACAGCTACGGTGAGTATTAGCATCCAGTACAGTAAGGCTATCAATATTAAGAATACAAACTGCATAAAATAACAGCATAACCCCTTGTATGATGACCCATTATTCAATATCCAGATAGAAAGATATACAAAAGTGTAAACATATGCTGCTAAAGCAAGAAAGTTGAAATACACTCCAAAATGATTTCAGAGAAGGCTGAAGTCAACNAACAATGTTCATATTGACTCCTTAAAAGTCCTTGGTCAAAGTACAAACTTAAACTAACACAAAAAAAGGAAAGCATTCTGACAATTTTAGTTAGTAGGTGATATGGAAGTTGAAAGCACAAAAATAACCCAGGAAAAAAAAAGGCCAACCAATTTTACACCAAATTTATGGTCTAGATTCTCATACCACTGACGTATCATTAAAGATTATTTCCTAATATAACAGAAGGGATTATTATGGCTAAACAAGGCGTTTTGACAGCTACGGTGAGTATTAGCATCCAGTACAGTAAGGCTATCAATATTAAGAATACAAACTGCATAAAATAACAGCATAACCCCTTGTATGATGACCCATTATTCAATATCCAGATAGAAAGATATACAAAAGTGTAAACATATGCTGCTAAAGCAAGAAAGTTGAAATACACTCAAGTAGCAAATCATCAGAGGGAATGTTGCAAATCTAATGAAGCAATAGAGGATGGAGATATCAGATATTTTGGAATGAGAATCAAGAAAGGAAAATGACCATTTATCAGTTAACGAAAAGGGCAAGTTACCATGAAACTTTGGAAAACTGGATTAAAAAGAAACACTTACATATGATCTTTTGGCCACCAAACTTTAACTTTTGAGCCTACCAAGTTCTCACCATACTCAGCAGCCTCAGATGCCTGGGGTGAAACAGTACAACCAATTAGACAAATCAAAATTATGCAACATGGAAACAGTATAGGGAAGCAAAGCAGACCAATTCAGGGGTAAGTACAAGCTTCACTTCCATGGTCAAACACAGCATAGCTAAAAACATGTATCACTCCCACCAAGCTAAAACCAACCTCACTTTTTGAGTTTGGGAAATCGTTGGCAAGCAGAGTCAAAACTCGGTCTCCATTTTTTTGCGTGTTGGCAACCTTCGATCTAATAACAGCATGTTGGTTGACTTCTCTCTCCCTCTGTCCCCTTCTTTATATACATATGGGAAAACTTTGTCGCCCTAGGATGATGGAAGGGTCCGTATGTTCTACATGGTAACTTAGATTCCCCTCAAGAGTAAAAGAACAGAACTATTTTAGAACTATACATTTTTATTGGTGAAAATCATGATTGTGGCTAGGACAAACATACATCCACTTTTATTTATATGGCACAAGAAATAACAAAATAGTTTGTAAATGAATGCACCACATTGTAGCATTTTTGATACCCTTAAATGACATTTTAGTTAAATCTGGCACCGCATTCAATTTGACTGCAGACATGGCTCCCCATATTTGAATGATGGAAAATTGAGCCCAGATATTATTCCAAAATGGGGAAATATAATAGTACCACAATGAATAAGAAAACATACTTGCTCTTCGCCAGCAGTACGCTTTCTTTTCTGATTCTTCTTAGGAGTTTCTTGAAGTTGGCTTTCGTGTTTAGCTGATTTTGTGGCAGACTTGGGTGAGGAAACGATATCCTACATGATTCATTAGCCCAATTTGATCAGGCAGTGGATTAGTTTTCAAAAAAAAAACATTTAAGGATAAAAAACTGGTGAACTAAACCATTAATAGAACAGACAAATAAGAATAAAAGCCAGTCTGAGAGTACTTTGGCATCATCTTTAGCGGAGAATTTAGTTCCATCCTTCTCTGAAGTATCTTTTCCCCGTGCACGCCTTTTTCCATCTTCCTTTTTCTTTGGTGACGACTTACTTTCAATGTCATTGCTTGCACCCACCTTCTTACCTGATTGCTTCTGCGGTTTTGCTTCTGAATCACTAGTGGTCCCAGCTTCATTTTGGGTTGTCTCTACTACAGCTGGAATCTTATCCTTATAGATAACAGCAGTTGCCTTCTTTCCTGATCGCCTCTGTGGTTTTACTTCTGAATCGCTTGTTCCTTCAGATACCTTCTTGGAAATAACATCAGCAGGTGGTGCATCTTCTTGAATCAAGCTCCACTTCTTTGGCCGCCCAACCTTCTTTGGACGAGCCTCATCAGGAAGGTTTCCATTTGGAGATGGGGAAGCAATATTCAAAGCCTCACTCTCTAAGGCTTTTGGTGAAGAAAGCTGAACATCAGTCTCTTCATTTTTTGGACATGCTTCAGCCACAGCAGATGGATCTTCAGCTGGTGAAATATGTATATCCTCGCTGCCATTTTTTTTACGGTCTGCCAGTTTCTCAGCTTCTTTCTCACTATCAACAAGAGAAGAGTCTGAAGGATCTGTAGAGCTCATTAAAGTGTCGGGTTTCCTTCCCCTTGTCTTGGCAGTTTCTTCTCGCTTAGACTCTGCTTTGACAGATTTCCCAGCATCTGACTCATCAGTATCAACCTTGTTTGTTGCATTAGCGTCGACTGACTGATTAGCAACGTGACCATGCTCTGGCTTCTTTAAAGACTCTGGATCCACCATAGTTCCATCATTTGCAGCCTCTGCACTACCATTACTCATAACTGGCTTAGGAGATCTTTCTGCAGCAGGATCAACGTCTTCAGTACAAGCCTCTTCCGTTACATTTTTTGTCACCTGGTGAGAGCTCCAAATGATAAGTTTGGCTTTGGGTCACATAGGCAACAAATTTTGATGGACGAAGCACACCAGTACATAAAGAAAAAAGGCATTCAAAACTACAGTAATAATAACAATCATAAGGCGTGCCTGAGGTGCCACTTCGGAGGCTGCTGTAGCTAACTTGTTCTCATCAGCCTGAAGCATGTTAATACAGTATGTTTAATGCAAGAAGCTTACAACCAATAAAGGCAACAGGAATGCTAAATCACAAATGATAACATTTTACGTAACAAGGAATTGGGGGTTGGGGGTGGAGCAGGTAATAAAACAGTGACATGCCTGAACAGCCTCAGCTGAAGATGCCTTATCCAAGTTATTGTCATCAACCTGAAACACATCAATTCATAAAGTTATACAGACCAAATCCGTCACACAGAATATCATCAACTCACATACAAGTACTCCAATTGACTGAGCACTTGCACATGAACGCAAACAAAAATCAGTCTGTCAACAAACAATTTACAGTTACAAATTGTTCCTCTCAATATCAAACCAATTAGTAACGAAGACTTACAAAAGGTAAGGTACATAAACCTGCAAACAAGAGTTGATATGATGCAAGAACAAAAAGCTGCAAGCTAGCAAACATTAATTAACAAACACTAGAAACTTCTGGTCAAAGCTTTATGATAGAGGCATAGTTGCTAGTATCTTATTATACACGATATCTATCTTTTGATACCCTTTGATACAGTGAAAATACCATACCTATCAGTGAAATGTACTGATTTTACCACATCGTTCGATACGCGATACATATGTTTCAGTACAGTGAAAAAACAATACATGCAAGTCTATTTTTTTTTTTTTAAAANGTCAAAGCTTTATGATAGAGGCATAGTTGCTAGTATCTTATTATACACGATATCTATCTTTTGATACCCTTTGATACAGTGAAAATACCATACCTATCAGTGAAATGTACTGATTTTACCACATCGTTCGNTACCTATCAGTGAAATGTACTGATTTTACCACATATACGCGATACATATGTTTCAGTACAGTGAAAAAACAATACATGCAAGTCTATTTTTTTTTTTTTTTTAAAATTACTTTAACAGTGAATTGATGTCATTCCACAATGCTTTTTTTTAACTCTTAAATCTGTAAAACGACGAAGTTCCCTATTTTCCTTTTGGTTTGATGACAAAACCCACAATCATCTTCTTCTGCGATCCTCTTTTGCTTCTCTTGCCTCCTCTTCTTCTTCTTCAAACAATTGAAATCCCAGGCTATAATATGATCTTCGTCGCAAAGATGAAGGGTTGTTTCCCTTTTGATCTCTGTCGCAAATACATATCATATCAATGATAAATGGGTTGAGATGGTATTTATATTATTTTGGACACTGCTTTCATATATTTACAAGGGTATTTATTTATCAACGCAGTCTTTTGGAATTGAGTGTATCTTGCAATGCACGATATATTATATTTGGAAAACGATACACGTTGCAATACATCTTTTGACACCCTTGGATAGAGGTGCAACCCTGTGACGTAACAAATGAAATGAAACAACGTGGAGGAAATGATGACAATACCAATTGCTGAACATTAACATTTGGTGCCTGCATTAATGACAAGTCAACTATTAGGAGATAAAATAAGCATAATGGCAAGACGAGGAAAACAAATTTTCAGTCTAAGACACAAAAAATGTTCTCTGAGCATAAAGGGTCGCACCAATTGTTTTCCAATAGCAATGTCACCATTGTGCTGAACAGTTCCAATTCTCCCCTCGCACACAGAGGCAACAACTTTACTGTAATCATCTAAAGAAACACCCAATGAACTCACTGCTTGTGCCAAATAAGGCTTAAGCTTAACCGCACAGTTCTCAAGCACCCTCTCCCCTAATTTCAGAGCAATTGGTAAAACTCCCTGAAACCAGCAAGAATTGATCAGCAACATTATTGGAAAATATAAGACATAAGTCCGTGCTACACCATGTCTAAAATGATAATAGACCTCATTGTTCTTCTTTACAGTAGCTAGTATGGGAGTGAGTAGCTCGAGTGGAATCTCTTCACTTTCTTCCAGTACAAGTGTCATAATTGTCTCCATGGATGAAAAAACATTCTCAGGATGAAAATCCCTGCAAGTTGAACAAAAAGTACTCTGTTAGCCATTCAATAAGCAACTAGAACATTATTCATGATCATAAGATGATTTCAATTAACAAGAATAGCATTTTTTTTATAGGAATTAACAAGAATAGTACTATTATGCATTTGTTAGATTTAGTTACCAAAGGAGATAAAAGTAAGGAGACAAGTAAATGAATGCTAATACCAAATAGCTCTAATGACACAGACCAGTGGGCTATTAGACACCTTAACTAGAAGACTGAACATGGAAGGAGGGGGATGCTTGGGGAAAGAGAAAATGGTGATGGGTGGCAGAGTTCCACGAAAAGCAGACTCAACCCAAGGCAATTGAACCTCATCCCTACTATTTTGAGGACAACTGTATGAGTCATGTTTAGCTATTTCATGGTTCATATTTTTCAGTTAAACCACAATATATTACATCCTTTTCTGATAACTCATTCACAGAGGTAGACCCCTCAAATTACCATTGATACAAATCACATCACTTTTCCTCACGGGCACGGCAATGGATCTTCTATAAACCTAATTAAACCATCTAAGTCGTTTTCACTTCATTTATCTTCTACTGGTTCTACTTCTACCAATTCACAAGTATATTCAGTCCTACCTGTCCTTTCTACTACACGTTCATCTTAATGTCCTCAACTACATAGTTCCACAGAGAGCCCGTGAAAAGATAAAATTGTTGGAAAAGTTCCAATGTCTGAAGTACACATAAGGAAAATCCCAACCTCTCCTAGATTAGCTCATAATTCATAAAAAACGCATCCCAGCTAAAAGGGAAAATTGATCATACGGGCAAACCATGATAAATATGTGAAAATTCCATCACTTAAAAATCACCATAACCAAGTCATATTGTCCATATGCGAGGCAAGACTGATAAATAAAATGAAAAAGACAATGTCTATCATTCTAGTTTAGCTATTTTGTTTAAGATTTTAAAAAAATGAAATTCAACTGCATAAAGACTATGACAAGAAAAAACAACTTGCACATCCAGATCTCCTTCCCACAATGCATTAGTAAAGAAAGCACTAACCAGCACAAAATATTAGGCCATACCTTATTGCTTTTAGAAAGTGCTGGAACATCTCAACAATCAGGCCATCACATTCCAGATCCAACATGACCACGCATGACCTAACTTTGGCCACAGTTTCAAGAATCAAAGCCCTCTTATTATATGATCGGCTGGACTGATCAGATAAATTCTCAAAGGAAGATACAATCAACTGGAAGATATCCTGTAACCACAAAAAGGAAAGTTACGAATGGGATATGCAGCAAACTGTATGTAAAGAAGTCAAAATTGATGATTCCTGGCACCTTCATTCGGTCATCATCATATGGAGCATCTGGTGCAGTAATTCTAGTTATTTCACTGATGCAAGAGGCAACTGCAACTTTTACATCAACATCTGAATGCCTTAGAAGTTCGTCTGCAACCAACGCCTTCATTGATGGAGAAAGCGCAGTGTGTGTTGATTTGGGTGGTGACTGCTCCACCCTTGACAGGAAATTCTCAACTTGCTTAAAAGCACAACAAAGATACGAAATTATATCAATGCATAAAGCAAGTTGACCAAGAGAAATAATGAATTCAAAATTTCATACGACAAAAGATGTTACAAGAAAACAATAACTTGGGTAAATTACACTAGCACTATCCCCATTGGGTAAATTAAGACAGAGACCTCCAAACATTTGAAAACTAGCACAGAATCCCCTTATTAGAATTTTCATAAGAACAATATTAGTGAAAAAAGAAAAACAACAAGAGTAGGTCCAAAGTGAGATTAAAAACTAGCATTCTGCTTCTGTCAACATGGAAGGGGTGTCTCTGTAACAACATATAAATTCAGGGGCTCCTTGTATATCGTGTCATTTCTCAAATTTCATGTGGTCTCCAAGTTTAAATCATTTGACATGTGTCAATACAATTTTCAGATATAACTCCTCCCATTCCGGATAACATTAAATGGACCCCCAACACTAGGCTAGTAGACAGCTCAACTGTGACTCTCCCCACAATGCTTCTATGAATCACAAGCAATAGCATGCTTCAAGAAATATGGATAGCAACATTGAGTAAAACAATCACCAAAATATACCAGTACAACAAGCGAAAGGAAGGCATGAAGACACAATTCATGAACCAGATGTCTCAAGAGAAAATTCTCCATGAACAATTGGAGGAAAAGCAATTCAATCATCTAGTTAATCATATAAAGTAAGTCATTTGACTCTACAGAAATAAATGGCAAAGCCTTTAATGAGGCCATGTGTAAAATCCACTGGCAATATGTTGCTTGTTCAAATCACCTTGGCCAATGTCTTGTGAATCCACCATGGATTTTTATCATACATTTTTCAATCACATTTCTCATGAAGAAACTCCTTATACAACTCCAGATCTACTGCAAAATCTCATTTTCTGTCCACTTGAACACACCCACCTCACCCTTTTCTCAAAAACCTTCTTTATACATCAGCTAAATACATCTTTAAGTCTTCACAGTCTCTCAGATGTCGTACTATGTCGTTCAATCTGATTTGTGAATCAGCCACATAGATAATATTCCCTCCGTCTCTCCTTCCCTTGCTCCTTGGGAAATTGACTAATACAAGATAATCAAATTATACATGGAAGTCATAGAAAATTTATACGTAATTAAATGGGCACTCCTTGGTTAAATTTTAAAATTAGAAGACTAACAGATGGTGCTATGATTCTACATACTAAACTTTGCAGTTAAAATCCTCATTTGCCTTCTTCTATAATTTAATATCAAACTATAAATAAAACCTCTAGCACAGAAAATTAGGACCTTACAATGAGCTTATTAAAAGGAGTGAGAAAACAAATAACAGAGCATCAAGTGTCACCCGATTCCAAAACCCAAGTTCATCATAGCATATGGAGGACATAGGTACTAATTCTAATAATCTTCATGTAATTGTGTCACAAGCTTGAGCATAATACTCTTTAAATTTATCACCCAAAAAAAGGTACTGCTATCAGGGAATGAAATGTTTCACAAAATGGCTCCAGGTTGAGCCTCAAGCTAGTAGAAACCATTCAGGTTTAGTTTACAGTTTACAGTTTACACATTTCAACAGGCACATGCAGCTTTCTGTGCCCAAGGCATGCATCAAATACAAGGAGCAAAAGCAATGTCCATGCATTCAGAAAGACCTTGTGAACCCATCAATTTTGAAGGATATAAAATGGAAAATCAAAGCTCTATCATTGCAGCTTACAAAATCTTAACATCATTTGGAGCTCGGCAAATATGCATCATATCCTTATACCACATGCAGAACTAAGTCGCAGAGATGGCACACGCTAAACAAGAGAACCAAAAAAAAAAAAGTTTTCCAACAGAAAATTTTTGCATGATGAAGTGCCCGTGCCAACAAAGAAAAACTGCAGAGGGAAGGGGGTTTAGGAAAAGATTTCGGACATTGTTCCCCTTTTTCTTTCTTCTCTAATCTCTAATGCACCCACAAATGAAGCATTAGAGTTGATATGGTAATATAAATTTCAAGAATTTCTACTCTATCCAAAAACTCAATTTTCATATATATAGTAAATAATGCAAAATAAACTGGGTAATATTGCCAAACATGCAATTGCATAGATATTTGATGTCAGGTATTTGTCAACCAAACATTAAGATGAATCTACTTTCCCCGATAGGCTGAATTAGTGTATTGCCACTACATATTCCTCTTCGCTGGAAACTACAAACCACTAATTATGTTGATCCAAAATCAAAAAGAAAAGCACCCAATTATAAAGCACCAAAATTCGGATGGAAAATTCAAAACTCACTGTAGTAATTTTACTTCTCCAAGCTTTAGCCAATTGTGGAAATAAAATTTGGGATTAAAAAGGAAAAAAATAAGCAAATTCATTCATATCTATTTTCCACATCATGTTCTAGCATACGACTTACCAAGAAGAGGCATATTTATGAGGAAAAATTATCCAAATTTGCAAGAAACGTCATAAACAACATGCAACACAAGAAACGAGCAGTAAAATACTACAAAAAAAAATAACCAAACAACTCAACACCTAAAAAGAATAAACAAAAATTCCAAGCAATTTATCAAACATCGACCAATAATCAACTAGACCTCATAACATATAAGCAGATAAGCTACCCAACAGATCAAAATCGAAGAAATTAGGGCTTACGTCAAGCAAAGGAAGGAGTTCGTCAACTGAAGGAGGAGGCTGAAGCAGCTTATTCCCAGCTTCCATGAGCTGCTCTTCGAGCTGTTTCTCTGGAGACGACATCGTTTTGAAACCCTAGATCCTCCTAAAATATCTCAATTTGAACCTAAACTTTCAGAGTATCCAAAACCCAGTAATCAACGAAATAAAAAAAAATCCAGAGAAAATCGTCTGTAGAGAGATTCGAAAACCTAGGGATCCTCCGGAGAGAGACTCTCAGGGAGTTGTTCGAAGAGCCCGCGAAACCCTAAATACCAGCAAGACCACAAACGAACGAACAGGATCTGGGGAAGAGAAAGAGAAAGCCTAATAAAACATTATTTTTCAGAGCGGGAGAGAGAATCACATGTTTCTTTATGACAGAAATCTAAGGATTTTTCTGCATATATAGAACATAATATACGGACGATAGATGTAGAGAGAGATAAACTACGGGCATTTAGAGAGAGAGAGAGAGAGAGGGTAATTGAAAAGAGGAAATATTCATTCACCGGCTATTATAGTTGAGGCCTTTTATAATTTAGGATGAATCACGCTTTGCAACTCAAAAAAATTTATAATTTATACTTCATAGTACCGTTATAAAATAATTATACTGTTACCCGCACACTAACTTACGTTACTATTTTTGTTAACTTTATTTGTGTCACGTGCAATAAAATTTGACGAAAAGAGTAAAGAAATTAGCAACATTACAACTATTTGAGTGAAATATGTTTCAAATATAAATGTATTTTCTTATTGTTCATTAAAAACAAAATATTTGGGTGCAATATAAAAAATAATAATTTTTAAGGATATAAATTTGAGAATTTTGAAATTTTTTAAAATATAAAATGAGATTCTCACCATAATTTATAGTACCTTGCAGGGTAATGATGTTTTAATGTGTTTTTAAGGGTAATATAATATTGTAATTCAAACATTATTCAAAAGAGATTTCATATGCTTGTGCAAAGATTCACTTAGCACTGTCCGTGGATCCAGAGACTCAATNATAAATTTGAGAATTTTGAAATTTTTTAAAATATAAAATGAGATTCTCACCATAATTCATAGTACCTAGCAGGGTAATGATGTTTTAATGTGTTTTTTAGGGTAATATAATATTGTAATTCAAACATTATTCAAAAGAGATTTCATTTGCTTGTGCAAAGATTCACTTAGCACTGTCCGTGGATCCAGAGACTCAACATTGTATTGTACTTAAAGTAATAACTCTAATTTCAGCATTGACTTATTTTTAATTAGATTAAAGAAGGGATTAATTCGAATATTTCTAATTGTTGCACCAAAAAACAAATAAAATTGATAACTCTTAATAGAATCTTACCCAACTATTCAAAAATTACTCAAAACTATTATAAGTGATAGCATAATTATTATTATTATTATTATTATGATTATTATTATTATTTNTGTTGCACCAAAAAACAAATAAAATTGATAACTCTTAATAGAATCTTACCCAACTATCCAAAAATTACTCAAAACTATTATAAGCGATAGCATAATTATTATTATTATTATTATGATTATTATTATTATTTTTATTACTTTTATAGTATGATTGGTCCGACTGTTTGAACAAAAAGTTAAATCAATGATTTCACCCAATCCTCTAATAAATTATGGTTTTAACAAGGGAGTCACCACGTTGAATTTTGGTCAAAAAATCAAAAATGTTATTAAAGCATAATTTAATTAATCTAATATATTATAATTATTGAATTAATAATGGATCTCCATTAATACTGGGACTCACTGTCCAGTGATTTTATTAAATTAACAAATTAAATTAATAAATTACGTTCAAATAAAATTACTCTTTAGAAGCTAGTTTTTACCCATTTTTATTTAAGAGAGATCTTTGTCATACTACACAAAAATTAGAGGTTTTATGTTAGTACTACAATTTTAAGGGTTTCCAAATAATTAGAAAGAATAAGTAATNACCACGTTGAATTTTGGTCAAAAAATCAAAAATGTTATTAAAGCATAATTTAATTAAACTAATATATTATAATTATTGAATTAATAATGGATCTCCATTAATATTGGGACTCACTGTCCAGTGATTTATTAAATTAACAAATTAAATTAATAAATTACGTTCAAATAAAATTACTCTTCAAATAAATTAATAAATTACGTTCAAATAAATTACTCTTCAGGGAGATCTTTGTCATACTACACAAAAATTAGAGGTTTTACAATTTTAAGGGTTTCCAAATAATTAGAAAGAATAAGTAAATTTTTATAACACATAAATAAATGATATTGTAGATAGTTAACGAAACTCACCACAAACGATGCCTTACTAAACAATATCAATGACATACTATAAAATTTATTTTTCTTTCTTTCTTTTAATTTTACTACCATGTGATTTAGTTATTTAATTAGTAGTATGAATCATGAAGGGATAATTTGAAATAAAAATAAAATTCACGTGCTTAGATTCCGTTTTTGGTTAGCAAGGAAAGAATGATAAAAAGTGAAAGTAAAATAAATTTAAAATATATATATATATATATATATATATATATATAGNGTTTTTGGTTAGCAAGGAAAGAATGATAAAAAGTGAAAGTAAAATAAATTTAAAATAAATAGATATATATATTTATGTATGTATTTGGTTAAAAACTTACAAGAAAATTTAAAAAAAAATTCATTCTATCATTTGAATTACAAATTTTTTTTAATTGTCTAAATTATTTTTAATTATATTAACTCAGTATAAGAAAGAAAATAATATTATAATTAAAAATTAAAATTTTTAGGAATTTTGACTCCAAACCTAATTTTGGGATAAAGATAGACCTGAATCCAAATCTCCGGACTAGATTATATGGTTAGTCTAATCCATACCAAACTTTTTTAAAATTAATAAATAACTGGAAATTATAAAAATAAATAAATAAATATAAAATGGGAAGTTAGATTATTCATCACAACTTTTTTGTTTTTTATTGTGTTTTTTGCAAGAAAAAAGATAACTAATTGTGATAAAATCTAATTGTGGAGAAAAATTATTTTTTCTAATATTTTCCATTTCATGCTAATAATGCACATAAAAATTTTTAAAAAAATTATTTTTCTTACATTTTTTAGCCTCATCTCGCTAAATAAATGAACCTAATAGAGACAAAAATGGGTAACCTCCTTAAACCGTAAACTTTTATATCAAACCATGTTTAACTTAAAAACAAAGTGCATATCACCTTCCGAAAAATATAAAAACAAAGTGCATATCATAAACAGCGGTAACGTTTTAAAAAAAAAGTTAAAATATTTGTATCATTCCATTTAATTTTCATTGTAATAACATCATTTAATCTTTGGTGAATTATAATTTGTACCCTAAAAACTTTTAACTTTTTTATTTTTTATCCCCAAAGATTAAATTTTTCACATTATATCCTTAATGTATCAAAAGTATTACAATNTTATAATTTGTACCCTAAAAACTTTTAACTTTTTTATTTTTTATCCCCAAAGATTAAATTTTTCACATTATATCCTTAATGTATCAAAAGTATTACAATATAACTCTTTTATTAGTTTTTTTTTTCTATTAGTGTTAATAGATTGATATTTGACAAAAAAAATAACATAAATTAACAAAAATGTGACATTATAATACTTCTAATATATTGAGGGTACAATATATGTTTAATATTTGAGGNTGTAACTCTTTTATTAGTTTTTTTTTTCTATTAGTGTTAATAGATTGATATTTGACAAAAAAAATAACATAAACTAACAAAAATGTGACATTATAATACTTCTAATATATTGAGGGTACAATATATGTTTAATATTTGAGGGTACAAAGCAGTGTTATTAAAACTGGACTAGACCGGCCAGTTGGACCATTTAGACAGTGAATCGGAATCTAGACCGGTTCGGCTCTGTAGTTGGACCGCACAAGAAAACGAACCGTGGGTAAACCGTTAAACCGACCAATTTTTTACTAAACCCCTGAACCGGGTGGTTTGAAAAAACGGAACGGTTTGAATTTCAAGACTTATATATAAAAAAAAATTCATTTTTTTGAGTCATTTGCCTTAAATCAATCGTGTTCACAACTCAGTGGTCACACACCCACCACTCAAATGGTCAGACAACTACTCACCTCTCAGGCGATAAGACTCACCACTCTGGCAACCTCTCAAGCGAGGAAGAGAAGACGAGAAGGCCAAAGACTTAGGGAGGTCGAAAAAAATTCCTTTGCTCACTTCGACAAGAATGAGACTCCTTTGCTAGAAGCTCTCTCTCTCACACACACACACTGCCCCCACAGGAGCTTCGAATACAGTGGGTGGCTCTACATACTTTTTTTTTCTATTCATATATCGGGTCCTATTTGGTGGATAAAGGTGATTGATATTTGGCACAGGTGTTGTATGCATTGCAAACATATTTTTATATTTTTTAGCTAAATTATTATATATATATATATATATATATATATATTTATTTATTTATTTATTTATTATATGACATGTATGACCAGTTGATCTAGTGGTTAAACCAGTGAACCATTGATCCGATTTTTTTGTCGGTTCGATGGCCGGTCCAATTTTGATAATATTAGTATAAAGTATAAGCCTTAAAATCTTTCAACGCAAAAAATACAAAAAAACCCTTTAATCTTTTAAATTATGTTCGTTAGTTATCTCGTCCATGAATAGCAACCTGCCAATCCATCCCCAAATCTCAACCAAACATAACCCTAANACAAAGTATAAGTCTTAAAATCTTTCAACGCGAAAAATACAGAAAAACCCTTTAATCTTTTAAATTATGTTCGTTAGTTATCTCGTCCATGAATAGCAACCTGCCAATCCATCCCCAAATCTCAACCAAACATAACCCTAAAGATTAACCAATCTCTTATACTGCCCAATTTATACAAGTTACCAAATAGCTCATCTCTTTAATGTCAAACTCAGCACATGGCTTCCCTTGCTTTATTACTCTGCCCAAACCCAACCCCACCCCCAAAAGCCTCATCAAAGCCGCCACCACCACACTAGCTTTAAACTATCCTAGAACATGTCTGTCGTCCCAACTACTGTCCCCAACAACACCAAAGTCGTCAGTATCCCACCTTCGAATCCACTCCCTAATAGCCACACACCATCTCCACGTCCAAGCCCAACCTCACACCTACCCCCATTGTTGAATTGTTGATGCACAACATTGATTCTCAAAAAATAGAAAATTTACTAAATAATTATCAATTTGTCTCACTAATTCAACCATTTATTTCCCTCCAATTTATACATTAATCCATAATCAACTGCCCCAAATCAGTTGGATCCTGTGATCTGGGGAATTCAAAATCTAACAAAATTAGAATATAAATGGCCAAAGAGCCCATGTCAAAG